CTTGTAAGCAAGTCTGGGGATGTCACAAACCAAAAATTTTGAAGGAAAGTATGAAACTAAAGTATGAAATCTGGTGGGGTGGGGAGGGGTAACTCAAACCAAAAGCCTTCCCTGAGAAGGGTATGGTATCTTCTGGTAAGAACACAATCTCTTCTGAGCTTAGGTCAGGGGAAAATTTATTCCTGTTCCTTCACCTACATGTATTAATAATGGACAATTGCCTTTAGGAGATGTGTCTGCAGAAAAGCATGGTAGCTGTATTCATCAAAATAAACATCCAGTCCAAGATGATGAATATGACTACATGTACCATGATTTCCTGCAGCGAATAATAGCCATTGAATTATGAGCTCAAGGTTTTTATCGCATGATAGTTGACAAGGGCACCTGAGTCAACTGTCAAACATAGAAATCAAGAGCGAATAATCTAATAATTTTTTTTTGCGTGTAAATCTACTAGTCTTTTAAAACTTTATCTAAATCCTGTGCACAGACACTTCAAAACTGCAAAGAAGCGGCTGCCATTTTTCCTAACAGTGGCACAGTGCTAGGCTACTTGCTGGTGGTTTACTAGTTATCCAAAAATTCTGGATATTTGGTCAGAATGTAAATGTAAATGGTAAGACAATTTTGGCGCGACTGATTGGAAAATTCTTGAAATAAATCATTGGCACATCTTGAGAGGCAGTTCAAATTTTCTGACCAAATCATCCAAATGGAAAATGTGCTTACCATTTGTAATCCTTCTTGCCATCTTGGAATTATGATCAGGTCAAAATCATCATAGGTTCTCTCATTAAATTGGGTGAATCGGAACAGAACTTACCATCAGAACTTTTCACCTGTCCCCTTAGCAATAATTCTATTGTTGTAATTTTTACCATGCCGTAGAAAATACAGCCAATCAGAATACAGGAAAGCTGTTGTATACTTGATGGTGTTACACCCAACTTCTCTTCATGAGCTGTGCGTATGCTGCATTGATTATGTTGGCCACTGTATGTTCTGTGGTATTAGAATAAAATAGTTCTGCAATGCTTTCTGTTGTCGACACATCATGGAATAACCCACTTGTTTTGTATTTTCTTGGTATACTCACTCAGTTCGCCAAAAGGCTTGTGTGTATACTGAGAAAATACAAGTGACTTGTGGGATATTCCGTGGTATGTGACTCAAAAGCATTGCATAACTATTATAATATCATTTGATGTGTAAATCTGATGTGTCTACTTGCTCAAGTGATGTTGTTTGGTAAGGTTGTTATTAGGAATACTTGTCTAATAGAAGGATATGGGGATAGGGTCGGTTGTGGGAGCTTATTATTAGAAGGAAATTGTGCGCTTAAAAATTTTTAAAGTTTATGTTTTGTAAGGGATTTATACATTATAATAACACTCTCTCTGACTATGACAGTGTGAGACACAAGTAAGCTCTTCAGTCCTTAACTGAACATAAAAAAAAAACGTAACTTACAATGATTTATAAAAACAGAGCAAGCTTTCTTATTAGAGGCTTAGAATTAGAAGAAGTTGGAACTTCTTTTTAGCGTGAGGTCTGAGGTTGGGACAGTCTTGCTATTGGAATTTTG